GAAAGGGCATATATTAATTTCAAGCAGGAATCGAGAGAGAGGCTTTAGGAGTAGAATTGTGTCGTGGAGCATTATATAACAACTACCCTAGGAAATGGAACGCAAATGTATCCACTGCAAAAGAACAAAGAAACACAGCGGCCAATGGAAACCCTAACCTGTCACGAGAATGAGAAAATTGAAGCAGGAAATTCTTCACCATAGAAACAATGGGAGGGCCCTGACATTACACATGGGAATTGAAAATAGAATTAAGGATGGAGCGCATTAGTAGCTATAGATGGCAATAAGTCGAGTTTTGTCAAATTCAAGCCCAAACCTACAGGTTTATTCATAAAAAAAAATTTGGGGTAAAACTTATTGGGTTTGGAAAACTCAAACCCAACTAAACTCGTTGGGTATCCGTGGGTTCATAGGTACCCGTGGATTTTTGTGGTAAAAAATTTACAACAACAAGTTCCTATTAATTAATTAATTAACTATTATTATTAATTAATATATAAAAGTCTAGGTTGTGAATTACTATTCATTAGTGTCTCTCTCACTCCTCCAAGTGCAAGTGGGCAAGTTTCATGTCCATCTTTTACCCCACTCTCTCATACTATGACTAATGTGTTCATCTATTGTCCGTCGGGTCTACATCTATTGCCTATTAGGTTTCCCATTATAGTTTTTATCTATTGTTCATTGCTTTCTATGTTGCAACATTACCTGTCTCGAAACACTATCGACGAAATCATAAGTTGTCCTCTTTCACCGTTTGCCACGACTACTACCGAAGATCCATACCATATCTATTATGCACAATCCTTGCATTCGCCCAATAATGCACAACACTTCTCCAAACACTCTCGGTGAAATCCTAAGTTGTCCCATCCACCGTGTCCCAAGACTGCTACTGAAAATCCATATCAAATCTGCTTTGTGTTGCCAAATTTTGTATTTTTAAATTTCTATTTTCCCCTTTTGTTGAGAATGACAATTGAACTCAAACTCATGGGTATTCAACATAATTTGTCCAGTTCAAAGTGACATTGAACCCGATTTTTGTATTTTTAAATTTCTATTTTCCCCTTTTGTTGAGAATGATAATTGAACCCAACCCCATGGTATTGACGAGTTTTGTATCGAGAACGAGTTTTATATGCTTTTGTAGTTGGTAGGATGGGTCGAGTGTGAATTTGTTAAAAACTCGATTCGACCTGGTCAAAGCGAGCTGAACACGGTGTTGATGAGTTTTTGATCGAGAGCGAGTTTTATCCGCTTTAATATTTTTTATTTCTCCTTTTCCTTTTGGTTGAGAATGACAATGTTAGCCGAGTGTGAATTATTAGAAACTCGATTCGAACCAGTCAATGCGATTTCAACTCGGTCTGTAGAGTTTTTAGCAGGGAGTGAGTTTATTCGCTTTAGTGTTTTTTTATTTTTCGTTTTCCTTTTGGTTGAGAATCCAAACCTATGGGTATCCCTGTTGGCGTAGAAATTGATTGCAGGTGGCCCCAATTTTAGTAAGACCCGCTGTCACAAAGTGGCACGTGAGACTGAGGTTCATGGGTAATCAAAGAAAAAAAAACCTATGGATATTCAAGTAGCTAATTCAACCTGATCTAAATGACTTGAAATCGGTGTTTACAAGTTCTCGTGTGGAAGTGAGTTTAATTCGCTTTTGTAAGTGGCGGGTTGGGTCGGTTGTGAATTTGTTACAAACTCGGTTCAACCTGATCAAAGAGAGTTGAACATGATGTTGCCGAAATTTTGGGCCGTGAGCGAGTTTTATCCGTTTTAGTGTCTGCTAATTTATCTTTTTTTGTTGAGAATTAAATTGAACACAAACCCATGAGTATTCAACATAATTCGACCTGGGCAAAGTGAGTTGAACCTTCTCAAACATGTGATTATTTCCAAAAATCCATAAAAAGGAGAATCAAGATGAAATAAAAAAAAACATAGCAAAAAGAATACAAACATAACATTTCTTTGTTTTTCGTTCATTCCCTTTTTGTTTGTGAGGGAGCAGCAAACCAACAAACATAATGTGTTCAACTTCAATTATTAATTTATCCCTCCCACTTCTTTTGGGACAAATGAAACATTATTATGGTATGAAATAAAATTAGGGTAGGGTTTGGGGAGAGCTAGATTTGAGGAATTAGAATTAGGTAGGGTTTGAGGATAGTAGGACGACGAAATAAGTGTGGACGGGTATCCCTAAACCCAAACACAACCCAACCCGGTAATAGTGTACCAGGTTTAAACCCAAACCCGGCCCGAACCCCGTCAACATGGGTCTTACGCGCATTGATCGAGTTGAGTCGAGTAGGGTACCCGTGGATTCGGGTTTTGTTGTCATCCCTATTAGTAGCGGGTGAAGGACATGACTATTAACTATGGCCGATCGGAGAATTGATAGCTGGTGAAAAATAGGATTATGGCCGAGCGAGGAAGTAGAAGACATGAAGAGGGTAATGGGGTTAGAAAGTGGCGACGACCTTCGAGAGATAGGTGGTAACTGGTGTGTGGTGAGTGAGGTTGAGCACGCTGTGAGGCGAGTCCGATGGAAAGCTTTGGCAAAGCGGTGGTCAAGGCACGATCAATAGGCTGATAAGTGTTTGGGCTCGTTCAAATTCAAAGTGCATTCTACTTCCGCACGTAACAGATTTTACCTTCCAAAAATACACCCCCAGTGAAACGCTCAGGAGCCAGGAATTTTGAAATGGGGGTCCAGTTTTTTCCTTGCCACTTTTATATAATGTGTAGATAGTGTATGGCAAGGTTAGAAAATATGTTGTTACCGTGACGCTGATTTAGCAAATGAAATGATTGACTGGTAGTATAATCGGTTTGTTTCGATTTAAGTGGTCTAATAAACATGAAAATTATCAACATCAAATGAATTTAAGTATTTATAAAATATAATTGAAGACAATTTACTTACAACCTATGCTCATATTTAAATAAAATACCACATATCAAAACAAAATAATAAAATTTCGATATCTGAATACAACATTTAACGTCAACCCTCAAACTTCTATACTTGATTCCATCAAATAACAACATTTAACTTTTAGATTTATGAAATATATCAAAATTTAATTTTACATTGATTTATTCACTAAAATAATGTCATGTCATTTTTATAGACCGAAAATCATTCATATCAAACAAACCGGTACTATTCACATATATTTTACAACCAACACGGATTGAACCACGTTCAACCGGCAAGTATTACACTAACAAAACAACCTTGGGAAATCGGTATCCCGTAGGTTAGTCCAACTTGCTCCGATCATTTAAATGGTTGAAATACATTCCGGTTGTGCGATTTTGGGAAGAAGCCAAAATCGAATTAAACCAGTCAAAAAAGGATTTGAAGATAAAGATTGATAATCTGGTAATATATATTTCTTTTGAGAAAATAATTTGATTATATATGAATGACGATGAGTTAAATTGCTTTAAAATATGTCATGTTTATTTAATTTATTTGTTATTGGAGGTACTCAAACCAACTTGTCTATCTATCTATCTATCTATCTATCTATCTATATCTATAAAAATATTAAAGGACTTTCCGATTTTGGCCCATGCCACGTAATCCTTTTTCTACATACAAGCTATCCACGTCAGCCACTATATTCCTTCTTCCAACCGTCATTCCCAACGGTTCTTTCTCCTCATCGGCCCATAAAAACCCCTTTCGCAAACTTTCGGGCATCCAACCATGTGTCCGCCCTCTGCATCCTACCCATCCACCATCGCCATATGCCTCCGACGAGGCGACGATTTCCAGTCTTCTTCCCGCCAAATGCTCCAACCGGTGTTCCAGCGGCCATATTAATCATGTTATGAAGGGTTTCGTTTCCATATGTAATTCTCCCCCAATGCTTCTTCCATTTGCTTTTTCCCTTCCCGTCGTTGCATTTGATCTTTTTTTATGTTCCTTCCACTTGGATTTGACTTGGGGTTTTCCGTTCTTATGGAGATTTAAGTGTTTGGTGCTTCTCTAATTGGGTTTACTCATTATTATTTGTTGCCCTTATTTCCGTGCATGATTAAGATTTAAGTGTTTGTGTCTTCATGCCTTATGTTTTTGTTGTACCTTAATTGTAAACTCATTGTTGCCTTCTGCCACCGTTGTAGGTTACATTGTTTTTTCTTCAATCTCATATAATGTTCCTTAATTTGCTATACACTTAAATGTTGTATGTTCCTCTTTCAATTTAATGTTCCTTAATTTGATATACACTTAACTGTTCTATGTTGGAAGACGTAATGTACTTTCTGTTCAAGTGGAGAAAGTGGGTAGTTATGAATCGGTAACTTATCTAAACTTTGTGTATTATCATTAGTATTAATGTTTGTGCCAGAGTTAAAAATGATAATTAGCGATAAGTAGAACATCACTCAATGTTATCGAATAAGCTTGCTCACTAGGTTTGGCTTTTAATTTGATGTATCAATAATAGGAGATCAAGTAATTTTCACTTTTGGTAAATACAAAATATTGCAAGATTAAAAAAGATTAACTTAAATTAATTATTCTAAAATCATATATTTTTTTTTTGAATTTCATAAGTTTATAAATTTAGATCATAGGTTTTCCAGTTATAATTTATACACTCAAATTCATAATGTATTGTAATTGTTTATTGATTTCTAATATAAATAGTATTGGAAATCAAACACACCCGGCCAACAGGCCGGGTACGAAGCTAGTCAGCATAAATCGGTTTGACAACCTTGAACTTGATTGATTCTCTAAGTCAAAGTCTACGTGGCGTCACCTTAGCATCTAACTGCCACGCCTGATGTAAAAAAAAAAAAAAAAAATCTAACTGCGGCGCCATGGCAGCCTAAACATGGGGCCATGAACCGTGTTTGGGCTGGGCCTAGCAACGCACGAGTACAACACTTCCCGTGAGAATCTATCAAATTTGGGCCTCGAATCCCAACATGTATTTCCATAAAAAAAGAAGTAGAGCAGGTCGCGGGCAGAAAGTGCCTAGGCCGAAGAAGTCCGACCCATTGTCCGCCATTTGTTAATTGATAAAAACAGTTTCTGGTGTTACCGGAGCTTTCTTTGGGCTTCGGCTGATAGAGGAGGAAGAAGCGGGAGTTACATACGACGAGACGACAGAGGAGAAGGAAAGATAGTAACCACCACGGCGGCGGAGGTGGGAGGTGGACGGAAGAGGAAAACGAGAATGGGAGTGGATTACTACAAGGTTCTACAGGTGGACCGTGGAGCCAAGGAAGATGATTTGAAGAAAGCATATCGGAAGCTGGCTATGAAATGGCATCCGGATAAGAACCCTAATAGCAAGAAGGAAGCCGAAGCTAAATTCAAGCAAATCTCCGAAGCTTACGATGTAAAAAATCCAAAATCACAAGCAACTCTCTTCTCTTGCCACATCCCATCTGTTTCATTTATTCATTCTTTGATTTCATTTGGCGATTGCCATTTTCTTACAGGTTCTAAGCGATCCACAGAAGAGGGCAATTTATGATCAGTACGGAGAGGAAGGTTTGAAGGGGCAGGTGCCTCCACCAGGCGCGGCGTCGCATGGCGGGTTCGGACATGAGGCGGGTTCGGGTGCTTTTCGGTTCAACCCGCGAAGTGCAGATGATATATTCTCGGAGTTTTTCGGGTTTTCGAGTCCCTTTAATGGGATGGGGGACATGGGTGGTGGCTCAAGAGCTGGACCTTCAGGGTTCCCTAGGGGCATGTTTGGGGACGATATCTTCTCTTCCTTTAGGAATGCTGCCGGCGAGTCCTCCGGTATTCCACGGAAAGGGGCTGCTATAGAGCGGACATTGCCGTGTAGTTTGGAGGAATTGTATAAGGGCACCACCAAAAAGATGAAGATCTCGAGGGACGTTATTGATCACAATGGGTGAGTTATTTCTTCTACACCTCCCCAGCTGTACTGCTTCGATTAGGTGGAGAATCCGTAGCTCATTTTAGTTGCTATTTGCGTTCATCATCATTCCCTTTAAACGCATCGCTCTTAATTTTTCGGTTGAGTATTCTATTTTGGTAATTCTGCGCTGGAAAGGGTCGGTGAAGTGTCTACTTTACTGTTCAATCTAGAGTTCACATTAGAAGTTCTGAAGCTTCACCTTCAAAGATGAACTCTCCTGCCCTTCTTAGGGCGTAGAAAGTTAAAGATCCAGCCTTTTGCAGTGCTGTTATTGTTGTGGTTTGCTCAGCTATTGGTCACAGGAATGTAATGCAAAGGGATATTAGTTATGCACGATGCTTGAAATGCAACTGACTTGATAAAAAAACCAAGTTTTTGTGTGTGAGTCTAAGTTACCATGGAGCTTAGCAGGCAGACATGACATTGGTTCCACATGTCATATTACGTCTTCTATTTGTCGATAGACATTACAATTTCGTTTTCTGTTAAGGCAACTAATTTCTTAACGTTGAATAACTAATGATGGTGGTCATCCTGATCATGCCAATGAAAGCACCACACTTTTATCCTCATCACACAATAGTGATATAAGCCTGCTTGAAGTTATTTGTTAGTTAGCTCAAGCTCTTTAGGTATTAAATTATGCAGCACACTTCTTACCATCTATCATCTGTTAACATAAGGAACAAACTTGCTTGAACTACTAGTGTTGATATGTGTGTAGTGGCAGTACTGGCATATTCTTGAAACTCGACTAAGAAACAAACCCCAAAAGAATTTCTCTTGCATTTCGAGAGTATAATATGTGCAACCTTAATTGGTAATTATTGACCTACTTGTTTCCGCCTTTGTTTTAGTTGTGTACTTGTCTGTCAAGATTGGAATGCAGAATAGGTTTTCCTGTCGTATCGTTTCTGATATGTGGATATTACAGATGCTAAAATTGTTTCTTTCAAATTGCCCCGATGACACAGGAGACCATCGACTCTTGAGGAAATTCTTACAATAGAGATCAAGCCAGGTTGGAAGAAAGGAACAAAAATCACATTTCCAGAAAAAGGTAACGAACAACGTGGGGTGATACCCTCTGACCTGGTATTCATCATCGACGAGAAGCCTCACCCAGTGTATAAGAGAGATGGCAACGACCTAGTAATCACTCAGAAGATATCTCTAGTGGAAGCACTCACAGGCTACACAGCACAGGTGACAACCCTTGACGGGAGGGCTCTCACTGTCCCCATCAACGCCATCATAAGCCCAACATATGAAGAGTCTGTCAAAGGTGAGGGGATGCCCATCCCAAAGGAGCCTTCCAGGCGCGGGGCTTTAAAAATTAAGTTCAATATCAAGTTCCCCAGCAAGCTGACAGCAGAGCAGAAAACTGGCATCAAGCGGTTAATCTCATAGAGATAAAGAGCTTTGCTTTTAAATGGATGGTAATGGCAATCGGTACCATATCATCTCTTGCCAGACTTGTGTGAACTTTGCATATTTATTTTCTTCGCCGGGAAGGAAATCGGTATTCCTGGAACTGGGAATTATGTGACATTAGTTTCTGCTAGAGTTGGAAAGTTATTCTTGGTGGTTCATCCTTAGGATCCTCTCTTCTTCCCAGGTAACCTTTTTAATGTCAAATTGCTTTTGCCACGGGCACTGCTGATTTCTAAATTAATTGGTTTTTTTGCTTTGCTTCCTTGTGGTCTCTTTTGACTCCCTGTAAAAATGTTTGAACCGTTAGCTCATTCTGGCCTTTGTAATAAAGAAAGGAACTTGTATCTTTTTCCTGAGGCAAAACTATATACAGTTATCCTCTCGTAGTTAAACATAAACATTTGATACTTTTACCTCTTATTTTCAGAGAAGAGTCCTTGACGCAGGAAGAACAGTATGAAAGTATTTTTCTTTTGTCTGGGTATAAATTTAGTGGTGGATATTGCTCTGGTTGGTTCACAATCGTACAGACATCATCGGTTAAAGACAAATGTGCACCATGATCAGGGTGATATGATTATTATGGCCGCGTTTTATGCCTCCGGAACATACTTTGGATCCACCAGTGGCTCCAACATTGGCAGTTCATTTTTGACGTACAAGTTCGTCTATAAAAAAAGGGCTATTGGATATACGAGGCGAGATGCTTCAGACACGTGCATTAATACTTGGGCAAGAGGTTCTCAAAGATAATCCCAAACAATGTCGTATTCAGGGATTCGATTCACTTGATGTCGTTGAGTATTTGCAAGTCTTTATTCAGTAAGTTCGAGCTAATGAAGCTTCGATATGCATACAAGGACCATTATGACAAAAGTCCACTGAAATAGGAATGGCAATGGGGCAGGTCCGGGGCGGGTTTCTTGGTACCCAGACCCGCCCCGTAGCAGGTCGGGTCCAGGTCGGGTAATTTATCAAGGGTCACGGGTTGGGGCATGTCGACCCAATGGGTAAGCAATTTATATGAAAAATATTAGAAATGTTCGTTATTTTTATTATAAGACCATGGAAACAAACAATATTATGATAAATATAGTTAAATTATTGGAGAAATTGAGATTTTCACTAATTTACATCTTTATTGCAGCTAAAATTTGATTTAGTAAAAGGAAAATCCTAAGTAATTTGACTAAAATTAAGTGTAATTTAGGCAAGAACGGGTCGAGAATGGGGCGGGTCAGGGCAGGTCGGGTCTATGAGAGTACCCATGCCCGCCCCGCCCCACCTACGGGGCGGGTCGGACCCGCCCCAAAACAGGTCAAACAGGTCGGGTAAAACGGGTCAGGTCGAAATTGCCATCCCTACACTGAAACATGACATTATTTGGTAGTGTTGGATGAGTCTTCCTTTTACGCTTACTATCGCTAAACAGAGCCATCCTAGCAAAAGTGCACATATGTTTTTCTTTTTTATTTAAAAAGTGCACATATGTTGACAGTGGGTCCGGATCACCTCAGTAACCGACCCCTCAGTAACTGTCAGTAACCATCCATCGCACCGTCCATCGCACCATCTTTCCAGCCGTCAGATCATGCAAATTAACTACACGCGGGGGGCAAAATAGTAATCACGTCTCTGACAATTTGAATTGCAGACGTGACAACGACAACCGTCCCGCCTTCTCTCCTTCTTTCTCTCACCTTTCAAGCGACAGTTCCACTTCCCTCTGCTCTCTAACTCTCCAATCTTCTTCCCGATCCTCAATTCTCTCACCAAAATCACAGCACAAAATAAACATCAAATTGAACGATTTTCGCAAAGGTTTTCGAAGAATCATTCAACGATACACTGTTCTCGCTTCTTCGTCGAAAAACGAAGGGTTTCCAACTTCAACGAGGCTCAAAAATCGTTTTCGCACAAAATATCAAGGTAAAACCTCATTTCTTTCTTCGAAATCCATCCACAGAACATTAGAAACAGTATTTCAGTCACTCTTCATGTGAAAATTGTAGTAAACTCGCTAAATTACCGAATTGTTACCATGCGTTGCTGAACTAGTGTAGAATCTGTTGTGTTTTGCTTCGTTACCATATGGTAATGTGTGGTAAGCTATGATTGCATGTTGTAAAATAGCAAAAAACCATAAGTCCTGCTGTGTTTTAGTTTGTTACCATATGGTAATGTGTGGTAAGCTATGGTTTCATGTTGTAAAATAGCAAAAAACCATAAGTCCTGCTGTGTTTTAGTGTTTTAGTTTGTTACCATATGGTAATGTGTGGTAAGCTATGGTTTCATGTTGTAAAATAGCAAAAAACCGTAAGTCCTTCTGTGTTTTAGTTCGTTACCATATGGTAATGTGTGGTAAGCTATGATTGCATGTTGTAAAATAGCAAAAAACCATAAGTCCTGCTGTGTTTTAGTTTGTTACCATATGGTAATGTGTGGTAAGCTATGGTTTCATGTTGTAAAATAGCAAAAAACCATAACTCCTGTTGTGTTTTAGTTTGTTACCATATGGTAATGTGTGGTAAGCTATGGTTTCATGTTGTAAAATAGCAAAAAACCATAAGTCCTTCTGTGTTTTTGTTTGTTACCATATGGTAATGTGTGGTAAGCTATGGTTTCATGTTGTAAAATGGCAAAAACCCATAAGTCCTTCTGTGTTTTAGTTTTTTACCATATGGTAATGTGTGGTAAGCTATGGTTTCATGTTGTAAAATAGCAAAAAACCATAAGTCATTCTGTGTTTTAGTTTGTAGCATTTAAACTCTTTAAACCACCTCAGTCGTATATAAGCACCATTACATCTACCCCTGAGTTCTGGAACATTACGAACACGAACCGTCGTATCAACAACACCTGCATTATCAGGGTTATTCTCGCTACCTCTTTTCCAACCTTCCTTATTGCAACAATACTTGATATAATACACAGCTGAAGAACCACCATTGAGCTTCGGACACGCTGATTGGTTATAAATCCTCACACCAAAACCTTCATGATTCCCATAATCAACATAAAAATTATATGCATCATCTGGTGTATTGAACTCTAAGTCCTTCCAAGAATCACGAACAGTAGGATCTATACCATTGAAACCTACAAACATTATGAAGCAACATATTAAATATGTACAAATATAATACCACCATGGTATGATATGGTAAAATGGATTCCACACCACAACAGTATGAAATCGCAATGTATACCAATAATTACAGCCATGATACAAGAGTTACCACCATGGTATGACATTGTAAAATCAAATTACCACACTATACCACATGGTATGGCATGGTAAAATCAAATTACCACACTATACCACATGGTATAACATGGTAAAATCACTTACAGCAGCAACAAAATCCCAAAAAACCACACTATACCACAAACTATACATGATAACATCAAGTTACCATATTTTACCACATGGTATGACATGGTAAAATAAATTATCACACATAACCCCACCTTTAACTTGAAACTACCACACTATACCACATGGTAAGGCATAGTAAAATCAAATTACGACACTATACCGATGATTCCAAACATGGTACAAGTAATTACCACCACGGTATGATATGGTAAAACTTAAATACAGAGCACAATAACATCACAACACAACACTATAGTATCAGCTCTCATCGTATACCAGTAATTACCACCATGGTACCATATGGTATCTAACACATTCAAACTTCAATAAACAAACAAATTTGTATATCTTACCTCCTGATTCACCAGAGTTAGCTGAATGACCAAATCCAAGATCGATAGATGAAGAAGTAGTTCCAACAATGCTAGATGAACTAGATCCTACAACGCTGGTTGAAGAACCAAATCTATCAAATGGAACAGCATCGCCACAATTTACGTAACTCATCTCACCAGAATACTGCAAAAACACCAAAACACAAAGAACATAACACATGAACAAGTTCGATTAACTAAACAAAACACACAAAGAAACTCAGAGAAAGTAAATTCTACAAAACCAACAACGAAACTAGAGAAACTCAAACACGCTTGATTAGCTAAACATGAACAAGCTCGACTAGCAGCAATGAAAAACCTCCAACGAAACCAGAGATCAACAGAAAACTCGATTAGCTAAACAGGAAGAATAAAAAAAAACTAATATCTAACCTCGTCGTCGATCAATTATGGAGAATCAGAAAGCTCGATTCGATTAACTGCTGCTCGCAGTTTCTATCGCCGTCGATCAATTATGGAGAATCAGAAAGCTGCTCGCAATTTCTATCGCCGTCGACCAATTATGGAGAATCGCCGTCCCCTGTTTCTCAGCTGCTGCTCGCAGTTTCTCTCTCCAAAAACCCAATCCAACTCACGCACAGAAAGATTCGCAACAGACAAAGAGGGAAAGTCATTTAATTCAAATATGGAATATCGGACAAAAATGCCCCTGACCATCACCGTATCAATCACAGCCACAAGATCAGTCCGGCCAAGATCGACGGTCCCTAGGTGGTTACTCACCCTATCCTAAGCCGTTGAGGGTCACACCCGAGCCCAAAATTTCATGGTATTTCCAAAATTACCCTTATGTTCAAATAAAACCCTAACCTAAACTTTCATCTCGGTTCACTCTCTCTCTCTTATTAAATAAACCTAAAGCTAAAACCCAAGGAAGAAGCAGCAATAGCCGCAACGTCCCTTTTCCCCTCTCGTCCGTGACCGATCCCCAAGTCACCAGCGGGTGGAGAGGCAAGGACGAGTGCTCCGCCATCCTCTGCCATCTCCCACGATCTGAAATAGCAACAACGGCCGGGATTATCGACGAAAGGATGCAAGAACCAGCCTTTTCTTCTACCTCGCACGACATCACCTCCGCGCCGCAGCTCCTCTGCCGAACCCTCCCCTTCGCAAAAACGCCTTGACTTCAGCCTATTCCTTGCATCAAAGACAGTAAGGATCTTGAACACGGTCCCTTCTATATCGAACCAATCTGTCACGCTCTGGACCGGCGAAGGCTCTCGGCGGAGGAATGCGTCGAAGAAGAAGAAAGGGAAAGTAGGTAGAAAGAAGAGAGAGAAAGAAGTGAGAGGGAAAAGTTGTTATTATTATTGTTCAAGTGACCGTTAGGTTGTTACAGGTCACATTTATATACATTTGGCAAATGTCTCTTCTGATCCCTCTATTTTCTATTTACCTATTCTAAGTCCCGCGTGTTACAACTCCCTCCTCCTTCAGAACTGACTTGGCCTCAAGTCTGGAACTCAGGGAATTTCTGCTTGATCTCATCCAGATATTCCCAGGTCGCATCTTCCTCTGCTTGATGCGTCCACTGTACCAGTAATTGTGTAGCTGCTGCATTGTTCCTAGCCACAACTCTTCGAGCAAGGATCAAGGCTGGTTCCACCTTCAAACTGCCATGATCATCCAGCTCAGGCAAAACAGCCTGTGTGTGATACTGGTGGCCACGAGCACACTTCAGGAGAGACACATGAAATACAGGGTGTATAGCAGACCCTTGTGGAAGTTTCAAACGATAAGCCACACTTCCAACCTTCCTTTCAATCTCAAAAGGTCCATAAAACTTTGGAGAAAGCTTCTGATTCAACCTGGTCACCACAGAAGACTGTCTGTAAGGTCTGAGCTTCAAATACACCCTCTCCCCCTCTTGAAATGAACGTTCAGTGCGATGAGCATCAGCCATCTGCTTCTGGCGATTCTGAGCCTTAGCCAAGTTAGCCCTTAAGACCCCAATAAGCCTGTGCTGCTGCTGAAGCCTGTCAGACACAGCTGCTACAGCAGTGGAAAGAGGATTGGTGAGAGAGAACTGGGAAGGAGCATAGCCATATAAGGCTTCAAAGGGAGTACCCTGCAAACTGGAGTGGTAATTGGTATTATACCACCACTCAGCCAAGGTCAACCAGCCCGCCCACTGCTGGGGGTTATGATGCACCATTCCACGCAAATATTCCTCCAGACAACGATTCACCCTCTCAGTTTGGCCATCTGATTGAGGGTGATAAGCAGTGGAGTAATGTAACCTGACCCCTTGCAACTGGAACAAGGTAGACCAGAAAGTGCTGGTGAACAGAGAATCCCTATCAGACACAATCGTCTGAGGCAGTCCATGAAGCTTGAAAATACCATCAAAAAAGACTTGAGCTACTGAAACAGCAGTGTAGGGTTTGGCTAAACTGAAGAAGTGACTGTACTTGGAAAACCTGTCAACCACCACAAACACAACCTCCTTACCTTGTGACTTAGGTAAGCCCTCAATAAAGTCCATGGAGATGTGTTTCCAAGCCTGATCTGGAATAGGTAAGGGCTGCAGCAAACCAGGGTAAGGCACATTCTCAGTTTTACACCTCTGACATATATCACATGATTGAACATATTCTTGCAACTCCTTCTTCAATCCAGGCCACCAAAAG